AAGGTCAGAAGTATGCCGTCTATGTCGTGGCAGCCGTTGTATGTGTTGGCTGTTTGTTTTTCCTGATTGGCTCGAGGAAGTCCACACGGGGTCGTCCACCACTTTTGCCGGAGAATAGCTACTTGGCAAAGGACAGTCAACCAGCCACATGCCACATTTCTGTCCTGTCCTGCACCTAGGACCGTGTGTGCTCTGTTTGGGGGTGGGTGTTTGCTGGGGTTCACCTTGGGCCAGATGGTGTGCAATCCTTGGTATTTCATTCATACTGTATCGTTTTTGGATGTTTTTGGTATGTCCGCAATGGCTGGAAAGCTGTCGGAATGTTGGGCACATACCTTTCCAGGCACGTCCGTAAATAGTTCAACTCGACGTTTCACCCAAGCTGCGCCTATACTTGCAAAAAATCAACATGAAGTACCACCACAGTCTTGGGTTTTTGTCTAAATCACTATTGAATTCACTATTGCATCCCTCAGCTAGCAAGGGTCAAGGGCAATATACGTGGGCAAGGTGCTGACAATGTACACTTAGTGAAACCAGAGGACGAAAAGTCACCTTTTTGTGCTGGTCAGCTGGTGTCCACTAAACGATGTTTCAGAAATTCTAGTACATGTAGATGCCACACCCTTACAAACGGACATCAGCGGGGGCGCGTGGTCCAGAAAATGTATTGTTGCAGTCTTATATTTTGGAGGCGGCTTCCATTTAACTAATATTTCTTAGAGACCCCTTGCCAAGATAGTATCAGAAATAAAGTGCACAAATGCATTTCAACCACCTGATGACAGTCTTTGTAAAGTTGGTTTGCCCCCAGAAACCATAGCATGACCTGCCCTTTGCCCTCCATGCCCAGAGTTTGTGCTATGCCCTAATAAAATGATATAAAATGTTCAATTCAATCGGTACAAACGAATGGCCTCAAAAGCTTGGCAAGAATGTACTATCACCACAACAGCTGCATTAGAAGGTGAATGGCAATCCGCGGAAAAAAGCATGTCTCGGAAAGGCCTTCAGTGTCCCTGCTTATGTTGAGAGAGACCCAGGCTGAAGCAAGGCCCATATATGGCTCAGACTTTTCATTTAGCACATCCTAGCACTATCGACGTAGTTGTTCGCTGCTGGAAGATGTGACAACTCAGATGCACACCCAGAATCTCTGATGCACAACTTGAGGTGACTCCAACAGCAGCATCTCCAGCGCCTCGAGTTTCGCTCCGTCCTGTCCAAGTCCGATGCTGCGACGCCGGACACGTGCCATGCTCAGACCAGACTACTGGATCTTGCCGGAGCCACGGATGTACTGGTATCAGACCATGGAATGCGGGGATGACTGATGACAAGTTTGAATTGAAGGCGGTCAGAATCGGGCAGGCTTGTGTTGTGAGCGGGGGATTGCAAACATTGCAGACCCATGCAACAGTGTCATAGTGAAGATTTCAGGTGGCCTGACCCGTCTTTCGACCAAGACTCAGGCAAGCGAAGGTCATCGCGGAACTCACAGCTGCCTCAAGCTGACAAAGACGAGGGTCCTTTGCGGCTCACTGCGCCCTTCTATAAACCAAGCAGTGTGGACCTGAGACTAGTAGCTTCTTGTTACTAGTCGTAGTAGCTTCTTGCTCCTAGTAGCAACGCCAGGAGCCCCTAGTAGCGTCCTTGCTCCTAGTAGTACGGCCAGGAGCCCCTAGTAGCTTCTTAGTATGGCCAGGAGCCCGATAGTCTGCTGAGTGGATGTAAACATGATGTAAGCTGTGCAAGAAGAGGTGCAAAAATGATGCATCCACGATGCAATCCTCATAAAGTGGAGTATAAGTACGAAGGAAGTACAAGACTCCGTGTCACACCATAGTTTTATGTCGGGCACGCCAGCCATAGATACAAGGAGCCAAAATAGTTTTATAAAGCAAAAACAAAGCAAAAAAAAAAGCAAAAGGCAAAGCAAACAAAAAAGCAAAAAAATGTAGCTGTGCGTAGTTGTCGCTTTTTTTTTCGCTTTTTTTCCTAGGAGGGTACAGCAAAAACATATTTGTCGCTTTATTTTCGCATTTTTTTCGCTTTATTTTCGCTTTTGTTTTGCTTTGTTTTTGCTTTTTGCTTTGTTTTTGCTTTGTTTTTGCATTTTCATTTGCTTTTATTTTGCTTTTTTTCACTGTTTTTTTCGCAAAAAAAAAACTATTTGATGGTTGGCCATGTATGGCTGCCATCGCCCAACATAACCATAGTTTGCTTACTGCTCTCAGCACTCCTGTGCCTTACCATGCCTTACCCTCCATTGTTCATCTCTGTATTTTTTGGGACTTCTCTTACTAGCGTGAATATAGATGAAAGCAACAACATGATGAGTGGGAACAAGACCTGTCGAGATGTGGCTTCTCAGGCAAAGCATGCATCGACACATCAGCCGAATGGCTTCTCCATCATTGGAACTTTCACTACCACTCTTCATGCTGCTGCCCACGGCATGCCGCGCTGATGCTGGCTGCAGACCTATGGAGGAACAACAAAAAGGACTGGTGTGGCTGTGGCTTGTTTGGCGTGAGGTGCAAGCAGTGCTAGGCTAGTGCACCACTTCCCAACTGAACACTTTTCGTTCACCGAACCATATGTTATTTTCCGCAAGTACTCCAAGCCTGCTGCAGGACGCTTGCAATCCGCTGTGGAGTCCTTTTACCGGCTGGCAATGTGGCTTTTGCACCGCCATGAACCACGAAGAATCTATGATTTGCGATTTGTGTGGGGCGAGGCGAGGTTGGCCGTTTGTCAATTCATGAAGGCTCTCATTTTTAGGTGATGTTCATCGTTTGTGCTTGCATCCTTTGCCAGAGAGTTCCCTGACAACACATCGACTTCCAACTTAATAACATATCCACAACAGGAAAGCTCGGCATTGTGTTGGGGCAGTACCCAATTGTGTGACAATTTTGTGAAAGGTCTTGTGCTTGCGGCCGGTTGAAGAAAATCGCTTGGTAAGGTCCACCAAGAGCATCAGCTCAGAGGAATCAGCTTTTGGATGGTTCTTGAGGTGTGAAATCCAGGACCACTAGGAACCGGCTTGAATTGAATGCTGGCATGTTCGCTGGCTTCAGGCACTTAGGCTCACTTGACAGTTACGTGGAGGGTGGACCATTTCCCACAAATCATAAGCTCAATTGACCGTGCACCATGGGCAGGCACGATAACAGACAGATCGAATGCTCGGCTTCACTCTCGCAATCCGTAGACACGAGTGACTCTTCGCCGCTGAGCAGAGAAGAGCGTTTTCTGGCGATGTCGTGCGCCACGTATGGATGAATGGATGAATGAATGATGAAGAACCAAAAGCCAAGTTCTGATTCTTTTGAGTTCTGTTCGCAACTCAGATAGTATGCTAAGCAATCCCAACGATTCCCAATGTATATATGCACTTATATATGCAATAGTCTTTGTGTGGAAAATATAATTTGATTAAACCAGGGAGGGCTCAAGCAAAACCCAGGTCATGCTCGCCGCAACTGTCCAGGTGTTGATGTTAAAAACACACTACCAACCCAAGTGTCTTAGTGGTGTTGCACTTGACTTAACCCCCAAATCTATTGGTTCCCCGACTGCTGTTTGTGTCACAAGTCAAAATCTTTTGGTGCTGAGAAAGTGCACCAAAGCATGGAAAGCGATAGACCCCCCGGCACCCCCCAAAAAGCAAAGATAACTGGTAACTGGATGGAACTGGTTATGACTGTCCGTTCAACTTGTCCTAAACCAACCAAATACGGTCGTGCAAATTCACGCAACAGGCAAAAAACCGATGAGAGACGTTCAACCCGCGGCGTCCGTGTTTCCTGCGGTTGTCGTATCATTTCTCGTTCAAGGTGATTGAACCGTTCTAAAGCGATATCCTTAGCGATATGTGAGCGGTAACAATTTGTTACACAAAGACCTCCGGCCAGGGATATATATATATATATGGTACCCCAAAAAACACCCGTTCATCAATTTTACAGGTATTTGCAGTGTTTTATGCATTTTTTTTGATATACAACAGCTAATTTAATAAGATGGACAGCTGGATTGCGCGCCAAGATGCCAAGGCAAGACGATGTGCATACGTTTGCAGCTCTTGTTGGCAATGTCCAGGAACTTGGTCAAATCAAGTTGTGACGGATGCGCGACCAACATGTACAGGCATTTTCGTTGCCCGTTTGAGATCCAGCGTGACCAACTTCACCCGCAGTTTTGCATATACATATATATATATATGTATATTATATATAATATATATTTGTTTATGTAAACAGAGCAGTTTTCAGTTTCTTCCAAATCATTAAAGGTCCTTTTGCGGTCGGCTGCTTTGATTTGGCCACACTGAACCTTGAATGACCTCACCTCACTGTGGATTTTCAAACCGCCATTGAAGAGGTGAGGCGGCACATTCACTATTAATTGGGACCGGGCAGTGGTGCTTTAGGCAACACCTGAACATGCAGCATCCGGACTCAGCACGGAAACGGCAAGAAAAGCTGCAGGTTTTGCTGGCATGAGGGCATAGTTGTAGGCGCTTTTTTTGACATAGAGTTTGGCTTGGCACAAATTGACGAAGCCATTCCTCCACGGTTCGCTCATCCCTTTTTCTGGTGCTCCTGGTGTCCTCATGTTTTTTCCGGTTTGGCACACGTGTTGTGCGCTGGTGGGGAAAGTTGGGTTCGGGTTGACTGTTATTGGTTCTTTCTGCTTCTCCTTGCTTTCCCTTCGACGAGGTGTCGAATTGTTTGGCACGTGCAGACACAGGGGTGTTGAAGAGTCACACTCTCGCCACTGCAGCCTGCAGCAAAGAAGAAGAGATGGAAGAGGGTGTAAACACCCTTAGATCTCCAGGCGAATGCCAACGGGTTTGGCAACCCAACTCCCCCTTTTCTTAAACATTGGCGAACACATTAAACATTCTTACTTAGAAGTTGGGCCTGTTCAAACAAAGTCAAACCTTGCACACTGCGATGCTATGAAGGATAGGCGCCTGTGTTTTGGGATAGGCTGCCTCCGCTTCTTTGGATGACGAGCTTGACAAGTACTTTGGCAAGGTGCATGTTTTGACACCATATGATGCCAATTTTCGGTCGTCATATTCCAAGGCACCATGAATTCCATGATATCCCAGAAAGAGCCGTAGTCTTGCGAGCAATTGAATCCCGGACGTGAACTAAAGTTTTTGATTATCACAGCCATAGCAAGACAAGGGCGACGGAGCTCTACTTTGGATTGTTGGTAGATGGTGTGTTCCTCCATGTTTGCAGGAAGCACCAGCTCCATGCGTAGAGTCGTTGAAGCCAGAAGAGATGCAGGAGCGGAGGGAACAACTGGAGACAATTCCTCGAATGCTTTATTAGTCATTCTAATTTTGTGATTCTCAGCCCCAATCAAATTGGATGAGAAACAAGCACAGGTAACTCCAGCTGCTTCCAAACAACTCAACAGGCAACCTGTTTGACTTCTTTGATGTTTTGAGACGTGGTGGTATCAAAGTAGGGAAGCCGCTCAAACAAATCATTTATCAACAATTTGTCCACGCTTGTTACGTGGAAGTGGTCGGGGCTGTCATGGACATACTTTGTAGTGGTTTGGATTTGTGTATGTGTATGTATATATATATATACAATGTATACTATATTATACTATATACATTACATTCTATGTTCCTTACCACTGTTCTTTTTTGCATGCGTATTGAAACTGCAAAGGGATGACATGAGAGGAGTCATGCAATCTCGGGATGGTTGGAAAGGAGAAGGGGGTGTTGTGAGCGTGCATTTTTTGCAAGATTGATTATGAGTATGATTAGTCTTCAAATAAGCGATAGTATCCGATAGTTAAATTGTTTTTGTTGAAAATGATATTAGTGCGACAACTATAGCTCACCTTGTGAGAAGTGTCATACAGTATGTTTCCCACGATGTGGAATGCACAAATCAATCTCATGATATGAGGGTGCACCTTTGCATTTCATGGATTAGGACATTTGGAAATGAATGAATATATAATATATAATCCTGTCCACCTATTAAGAAAAACTCGGTCGCATTCTCTTTAAATGGGGTCCCTGAAATCGCGGGGGTCCAAAAAGGGTCATCTGGGAAGAGCTTCAAACCGAAAAAGTCACCCAGGAAATTGTTATATAAAATCATTTATTAAACTCGTATTGTATCAAACAGTCAAAAAAAAACTCCTTTTCCCCTACAAGACGTTATTAGAATACTGACTCTTTATTAGACCAACAACTAAAGCTTTCGAAAGGTGATGTCGCTGTGCCACGCGGTGTGTCATGGTGGATAGACAGGGCGCACAGAGGTGGGCAGTTAGGGTTGTTTTTGGAACCTAATATATATATATAATCTACCCCCAAAACCGATCATGTCGATAGTTTTAGTAGCGGTTTGAAAGGGCGGTAGTCTAAAAGCACATTAAAACCGTATTTAGGGTTTCGGACATGGTGTGTTTTTTTCGGACATGGTGTGTTTTATTTCGGGAGGCTTTTTAAATAGGTACTCGGGATTAATTGATCTCACACTAAAGCTCAAATGTATGTCAACATGTAGGATTCACAGGCCAGTTCTCATGTTATGAGGTTAGCAGCATGTATCTCATAGTAGTGTTTCATACCGTCACATCAGTAGCTCTGAAATATCATAACGTATCTCACACTACAATACAGTGCACGTGTATGTCACAGTGTGAGATGCACAGACCAACTCTCATACTCTGAGATTAGCACTTTGTCACGTCATGTCATTTTTTGAAATATGAGCTATATATCTTACATTGTATGTTTGTCACAGTGTGAGCTGCACAAATGAATTATCATTCTTTGAGATGTGACATGTGCAGCTCATGCTGTGACATAGATGTGCAAATCAACAAAGTGTGAGAGAAGTTGCTCATATTCAAAACGATGAAATGCAAAGCATGTGATGTGACACTACGAGATACATGCTGCTATTGTCAGAGAATGAGAAAAGATTCGTGCATCGCACACTTTGCCAAACATGTGAGCGTGTTCATAGTGTGAGATAAGTTTCACTTCATGAACCAGGGAATGCACAAGTATGCATTTCAAAGCATCAACATATTTTGCAGCTCATACTGTGACATAATTACATGTGCAATTCGACATGATGCGAGATAAGCTGCTCATAGTGCATCCCTGCACCTCATTGTTGGACATACAAAACTAAGTAGATTCCACATTTTGAGACAGCTCATGTGTATGTCATTGTATGTCACTATATCATGTTCATAAAGCGGTTCTCATTATGTTGACGTGTGAATCCTTGCGGTTCATTGCCTGAAATGTAAACACAAAATGTCACAACATCTCACAAAATGAGACAGATCACCTATTTGTCAGATAACGGTATGCACATCTCAAGTCTCATGATATAAGATGTATATACCCCTTAGCATTTCATGGATTGAACATTAGACAGTGTATCTATCTCACACCAGGAGATTATTAATACGTTTGTCACACAATGGTTTGCACAGATCAATTCTCATGATCTGAGGTCATAAAATGATATGAAGAATGAAGTATATCTCACTCTGGAGACTAGGATGCAAGGATGATATCAAATATATATATAATATAATATATATATACATACAGTTTGGCACAGCACAGCCAAACAGGTACAGAGGAATGTGGACTGATATCACTCAGGCTAGCCAAGATGAATGTGCATTAGTTTTGATTAATCATTAATCTGCCTGAGTTTGCGTTTATATTTACCAAAAAACATGATTTGGGGAGTCCTAGGTTGATGTGACTTGTCCGGAAAACGTTGATTGTTTGTTTCTTATGTTTATTTTCGCAGAGGGTAGAGGCCTGTTGTAGGCGTTGATTTCTGTACCCAAAGAGCAGTTCAAGACAGTTGTGAGCAGAAACCGCACGCTCACAACAGCCCTTTGTGGAGAAAAGCGGAACTACGTCGTGTGCAAGTCATTGACTCGCAATCTAGCACATTCAAAATACGCATGTGTCCTTTCTGGTTGGCTGCGTGGGACGTGAAGAGAGCAGATCAAGGCGACACTCAACATGCAAGTCGAAAAGAGAACGCGTCGTGTCGGAAAGTGTTATCAGGGAGGGAACTTGTGAACAAGGAATACACCGAAGAGCCTTCCAGGGAACCTAACGCATGTGCACTGATGCATCGTGATGAAGCATGTCGCGAGGGGTTAGTGCCAAATTGAATGACGTCACCACTAATGATCATAATCTTGCTTGGTGTGGCTTCAAGCAATCTGAACAAACATATTGCTTCAGAATCATGGCTGAACTCCCTCCTCGAAGAGAGGGGTGACCCAGACTTGACATGCTGCCATCGCTTGTTTGAGAACGGTGATGTGTTCTCTCGGGACAGCAATGTGAAGAATATATGCACACTTTCACGCCTAGAACTTGCAGACTGCACCCAGAGTATTTGAGGGGGTAAATGCAAAGCGTGTTGTTTTTGGGCATGTTGCTGCATGTAGCGACCTGATCACGGAAGTTGTGTATACTATACGAACATCAATCTTAGACACATATAAGGCCTTCGCTTCCAAATGTTGTTGTTTCTCACGAACGGACAGGACAGGTTAGGATAAACTCCGCTTTGGTTTAGAGACAGAGACACCCAACCCGAACTCTACAACCTCCAACCCCAAGTATTGATAGTCCTCAGTTCGCCCAGAGACGTTGCGTGCTACTTTTGCTAGACAAAGTCAATCAAGAAGCATAGACGCTAGCTGGCGACGGGTTTGTCAAGCCCACACCCAAGTCAGCAAGCATTTAATGTTGGCTGTTGGTAAGGGCCCCTAGAAGCAACTATCCATCCTCATCCAGTGCTAGTGTTGGGCGTTTTGGCAAAGATATGATTATTAATTATTAAGCCTACTAGGCCTGTTGGTGGTTGTGGTTGTGGATGTTGTTGTTGTTGGTAGAAACAAAAACAGCCGCCCAACATAATTGTCACATGTTGTAACTTTAGAACTTCAAGGGGACAAGGTTAGGGATACGGTTGAAGGTTTGAGCGAATGTTGGTTTCGTAAGTAGGTGGACCTTATTGGACTTGTTTCACTGAAGTCTGGGCTGGTCCGTTTTTAGTGTTTTTGAGGTGTTGTTCTGCGGGGGGGTCCAAAAACAACAACGGGGCTGCAGTTTTTGTTCGTAGGATGTGGTAGAGGTTCTAAGTAGAAGTTGTGCAGAGGCTTAGCTGACTGGCTACTAGTACTACTACTACTACTACTACTATTACTACTACTACTACTACCACTACTACTACTACGACTACTACGACTACTACTACTACTACTACTACTATCTACTACTACTACTACCATGACTAGTACTACTATCTACTACTACTACTACTACTACTACTACTACTACTACTATCTACAACTACCGCTACTACTACCACGACTAGTACTACTAGTACTACTACTACTACTACTGCCACCACTACTACTACTCCTCCTCCTACGACTAACTACGACAACGGTACAAGCACTACCACTACTCGTAAAAGGACTTGTTGGCTGGTTGCTTTTGGGGGGGGTCCAAACAACAACGACGGGGCTGCAGAGTTTGTGTCCACCCCCTTGTAGAGTCTAAGAGACAAAGGAACAAGATATGTTGTAACGGCGCTGCAGTTTTTGTTTGTACTCGTACCTTGTTGTGTTGTTGTTGTTGTTGTCGTCTTGAATTGGGTTGTCAGGACAGAAAGGTTGCCGCAATGCTGCTGCGCAGCGCCCGCACAAAGGTTTGCTGCAAGACGCCTGGATTTGCGCGAAAGCATGTTAAGGTCACAGGAGTCATAACACCATTCCTTACCGTAAAACATGTTGAGCTGAGAAGGCCACCTCTAAAGCTTCACAATGAGAATTGGAACAATGACAGCTCAATCAGCCGCTTCAGTGACAGGGCACTCGAATAGTCTTGCTGATGGAGATAAAGATCAGCGATAGCAAATTGCAATACAAGTTGGTGCAATTTCACCATGGAGTCATTTGCCTTTGTTTGGCATCAGTTCAAGTGCTAAAGTGGCCACTTGTTGCCGCGGGCAGGTTGAGGAAGCAGAAGAGAAGGGCCTGACTGAACCCATGCCATGTTTTGAATGACATGTGGAGAATATGGTAAATTTGCATAGGTAAAGACGAGGGCGAGAATGATTGGCCTGCATAAAGTTTTTGCCATTGCAAGCTGCAGGCTCCTTGCTCACGTTTCTAGATGTTCCTGCTCTATCAGTTTAGGGCGTCTCGATGTGAAGTTTACATCACATGTTGCTTGCATCTATGTGAAGGTTTTGTATGTTTTGTTTGATGTTTTTTTTTTGGCACTTCTCCCTCGTTTGTGACCGAATCTAGCAATTGGCCCACTTGGCCCACTTTGTCACGAAGTCCTGGACACAGACCTGAAGCAGCACCAAGCATAGTGATGACATCCAACCTACAAGCGATGGCCTCCAACCTAGAAGCAAATGCCTCCAACCTAATAACCACCAAAAACTTGCACAAATAATATCCAAGCTTGAGCTAAGTATGTCTTTCTCGACGGCGTTGAGTAGATCCTGACATTGCGCAAATGGGACGATGGGAACGACAAGAACGAACTTTGACCATTTGCGTGTTCTTTTTGATTTTCGGTTCTCGCTTTGTTCATTCGTTTTGGGCACCGTTCCTACCCCCGAACGGCCCAACCTCTAGTCACTCGGTCCGTTAGGACCGTTTTCCCAAAGTGGATTACACACCATATGGATTAGACAGATTGTTTGTATTGTTTTTAGGCCCACCGGGCTTCAGAACAGCAAATGTTTCTTGTTGTCTTGCTGATGTCCCAAGACATGATAAGAATATTCCAGAAAACTTGAAACGCGATGCCCGCAGCACAAAGAAACTTTGAAGGCCTGAGCCCAAAAAGAACAAAGGTAGGCAAGGCTAATCGCAGAATCAGAATGTCCTGTTAGCAACTTACTGAATGAAATAGAAGGCCAGCATCAGCACATCTTAAGAGTTTTGGAGTTTTGAGCAGAACTTGCCTGGCAATGGCCAGGCCTACCTTGAAGAGGAGGCTCATTTGGACATGCGTGTCAACAAGCGTTGCTTGGTGGACATGCAGGCATGAGAAAGGAACGAAGCTCATGTTGATCTAAGCTAAGCCCTGTGCTTTGAGTCCAGATCAAGTAGTTAATGACACCCTATAGCTACTATTCTATGCTATTCTAAAGGTATATTGTGTATTGCATGCCGTTTTCGTGTAGCCATGCGTAGCCTGGGTGCCTGAGTTTCAGCCGAGGCTTGCTGGCAGGTGAAGTGTCGCAAGCTCGTAGCTTCAACAAGCATCTTGGATCCATATAAATGGGTCTCAATGTTGGTGCTTGCAGCCTCCTGTTATATATTCTTACGGTCCCCAGATCTAGGCAATGTGTCGGCTATAGTTCTGTTTTTGTGATTATTTATATATAGTTTCCGTTGTTTTATTTGAATGGAGCTTGCTAGGAAAGCCTTGGTGCTTGAGCGTTGCTGTGTGTGTGTGTTCCTTCTGTGCGCTCTTTCGGCCGCTGTTGCTTCTGGCTTTTGTTGTTTTCCCTTTGGCTCCGCTGTCATTTAGTAAGCAGCCATGACACAAAACATGCAAGACATGTTCCAACTCCTGTCAGATGGATGTAAGTGGACTCCGCAGATATAAATACATGTATGAATACCACAGTTCAACTGGCGATGAGCTGCTAATTTTGATTCCTTTGGCTCCAAAGAGTCGTGATTGGCCATTCACCAGAGCTTTTCCTTGCTCCTTAGGCGAGCGGGTGTTGAGCCTCTTCCAGCGGTTGTGCAGCCCTGCGGCCAAGACAGATTGTGTCGAAATGTGTCGAAGTCTATGACCGAGAGGGGTTGGTTTCGGATGGTTCCTGTGGGTAGTGACTATGGTGCAGCGACGTTTTCAGGGAGACAGCGCCCCTGACGTTGCAAGAGCGAGAGGCCCTGCGCATTGCTTCTTGCAGAAGCTGTCCAATTATGTGGCAGACAGAGCGGATATATGCGAAAGCATTTATGATCTTAGCCCCTTGCAATTCCTTGACAATTGAAAGTCCTGAACCGGCGAAAATCCTGTTCGAGAAATGCAGCATAACAGCTGGGTTTCGGAAAGTGGTCATTTGTCTAGACTTCTAGATGGCTTGGGGCAGCGACTGGGGCCAGCACTTTGTCCAATAGATGTGCAGCAAACATGTATGTCTGAATCTTGACTTTGTCTCATGTCACATGTCCTACCTTCCCCAATTGCAAAAAGAGCGGCACTGGTGTGCATGCGTGAGGCAAAGGCGCTGGAGCTGGAGTATGTGAGAAGCTCGCGTTGCTCTCAGCTTGCCATCGGGCGAGTCGCGGCCACAAAAGTGCTTCCTGCCTCGTGGTTGTCTTAGTGAGTTTCAATGCGCCTACAGCGGATCAAAGCACATCGCATCCATCTCCCGGCTCAACGCGGGGGGGCCCTGAGGCATCGTTTGCGCGGCACCAACGGCAGCACCGCCAACATTGCAGCACCGCTGCGCAAGAAGCAGCGCCAAGAACTTGGTTCCGACTCGGGAGCTCAGAGCTTTGCCGATCTTTGGCGTGCCACGTCGTGCCACGATTGACCCAGATATACATATATATATATATATACACATAAATATGCAATAATATACATATCTATATATACATATGATATCTGCATTTCTCATCCGGTCCCCAAAGAAAGAAGGACAAGAAATCATTCTTGGGGTTCCTTTCCTTCAAAGTTTGCTTGATTTGGCATTCGCTGCAATTCTAATTGTACGGGCTACTGTAGTCCTCAGAGTCCATCTCGCCTGCCTAGGTGTGGGCACCCAAGGGGAACTCTTGGACTTGGCCAGAAGCTCAGTGCCCTGCCGTCATCCAGTAGCTTGGCGGTTTTGGCCAATATATCCAACAAACCTGTGCCTCACCTGGTTTTGGTAAAGGCCATTACTATTATGTTGGAGGCCAAGTCAGTTGTTTTTTGGAAATTAGTTGCCCGCAGCCGCTGGCCGCTGAAGTGGCAGGCTCAAACCATGATGTTGTAATTAAAGGAGACCATGTTGGGATGTACCCCGGGCAATGGTATGCTTATGGTTGGCATGGGGCCTTTTGCTGACGTGTTGTGCAGTGTGTCAAAAACCGTCCACGATGGCTACTAGCAGCAGCAACATGAGGACCTGTGGTGACAGCTCTGCGCTGCTTCAAACCACAGCCCATGAAATGCTTGCAGAAGATTCCTTTCGAAATACCTGCAGAACGTCTGACATCAACAGCGGCAAGTGCGTTTCCTGGCTCAGCTTTGCGTGAGTTCTTTCTTCATTTGGATGTGTGTAGGCCCCTGTCCAGAGGCGGCTTGCACTGGGTCAGGTTAGCAGCGTTATACAAAAAGTCCCACATCATTCAGGACTAGCTGGCACAGACTATACAGTGGCCCCCAAAAAGATAGAACCGGTTTCCAACACATGAAATAGATTTTATATACTTATCTATTTGGGTTCTTTGGGGGGTCTACAATTAAGTTCTTCACTGGTCAATGATGTGCAACCCATGGAGCTTGTTTGTCCGAACTTTGTTGCAGTTTGCAGCCGCACGTCCAAGGTTGGCAACGAAACGTGCTTCAATTGCAACTCCAATCACAACGAGAAAGCATTTCCCACCAATGCACCTCGGTTCCCAGCCGGGCGTTTGCTTTGCAGGGGCGAAAGTGGAACCACTTGCCAAATGGTGGAGAGTGATACCATTGTTTTCAAGGATTCTGGAGACTACTTAGCATGCGAAGGACTGGGGATCTGCAGAAACGCTTGGAATGTACAGAATGCAGGTGCAGCTTGCTGCGTGGGCGTCAGAGATCCCACAGAAGGTCAGACGTGCGTCGGCACAACCATCAGCTTAGCTGTGGATGGGCCGTGCGAGCATGACATGTGCTGTGACGGCAACCAGGTTTGCACCCAGTCAACATTTACTGGTCTTGGCAGCCTCAGCTGCAGAGGACACGAAACTTGCACCAACATCACTGCTGAGCTGCAACGGGATTTATACTGCAATGTTACTTCCATTGTTGCATCTCAACAGTCGCGGTCCTCGAACACGTGCGGTGCATTTGGAAGAATCACTACTTCATTCATTTTTGTCACAGGAGGTCCTCATGTCATAGATTGCCTTGGAAATGAAGTATGTCGAGGGTCAACCTTCGATTTTGCCTCCAATTCCTCGATCTCCTTCGAATGCGACTCGAAGGCTCCAGGCACTCCTTCATTTGGCGCCAACGCTTGCAGGGGCTCAAAGACCAAGGTCACATTGAAACCTGGCTGTTGGGCAAGTATTCAGTGTTCTTTTAAGCAGTTCTCTCAAAATAACTTGTACAGTGGTAGCATGTGGTAGCAGTTTTAGAGAGACCCCTTTTGGCGATGAGCCCAGGAAGGGAGACACTTGCTTGGACTTGATCTGTGGTGGAAGCAATGTCGACAGCCAGGATTGCAGATCAATGACCATCAGTTTAACTTCCAGCGATCGGTGCTTCTATCAGGGACCGCCTGACAATAGACCCGCACAGTGCAACGAAACCAATTCCAGCCAGTGTGGCGCTATTCCTCGTGATGATATTTGCTGTGCCGAGGGAAGTGAATCGGACAGTTGTGGTGAGTGCTGCCCCCAAGTTACAACCACCAGCACTCAGCCAGATATAACAACCACAACCACAAGAAAAGTCACAACAACCACCAAAACGACAACACGAAAGCCATACAACTACTTCCGTCGAACTCGTCGAACTCGTAGGGAGCATCGGCGTGAACATCGACGGCATCGACGCTGGGATCGAAGGCATGGACGGCAATACCGCTACTATAGTGGCCAATACCGCTACGACAGCCAGCCAAATGGCCAAGGCCGCTATGACAACGAGCCAAGGAGCCGCTTTAGGAGCGGCAGGCAAGGAATCGTGCGAAGATCACTGCAACAATGGCCATGAGTTGCAAATGTCAACAACAGAACTTTGTTGCATGTAAGCGTGACGCAAATGAACCGTCGCCTTAATGAGTACTGGTTTAGTTAAATCCAAGTGTGCTAGAAATCTTGGAAACTACAAAAAAGGTACCCGCTTTCAATGTGTGTGTGATTTGGCGCACGCATATGTTGTGTTTCTTTCAATTTCTTTTGCGGACAAGCTCGGAAAGACATCCTGGCTGGCAAAATTTTGGCACACAAGTGCGAAGCAGGCAAGAAGACCTGTCCTACATGTGCAGCTGTTCAAAAAAAGGTGGATTCAACGTTCATCCCATTGAATTTTGTTGTATGGAAGTTTGGTTGCTTGATTTTCTTGGACAAATGCCAGCACGTGAAATATGAGGAAGTTTGACTCACAATCATAGCTGATGTGTTCAGCAGCGGCTTGGGTGGTGGTGTTTGGATGCATGATGTCCACATTAGTGCAGAGGTTAGTTTCTTGATTGTCATAATTACACACCGGCGACCAGGCTGCCTTAGAGAGAGAAGCCAGAAGACAAGCTGATGAGGATGTGGCCGAGAGCATAGACACGACAGTTTTCTTGAACAGTGTCAAACTTATCGACATGATGCTGTGCGTGCTGTCGTTCACAAAACGCAGGGGTGCACAAGCTTGAACAAGCAAGCAAGCAAGCAAGCAAGCAAAATCTGAACGTTTCCACAGACATTCACGAGAACTTCGGCATTGCACGATCAACTCAAGGCACTAGTGAATCCTGTCCTGCGGCCTCCACCAAAGCTGGTGAAACGGATTGTCAGCCCGTCAACTTTAGCGGTTATCGATTTTTGCACCCCGCTTTTTCATGATTGAATTTGAAGGGGCCTTCAACTTTGTTTTAGCCTGGAAGCATGTCAATTGCAGTTGGGTTAGGTGAAAAAGCGCCTTGAATCAACTCACCCAATATCTGTGGAGCGAGCCAGGCAGTCAAAATTAACCGCTAAATACAAATTCATATGTACAACAAAATAAATGAAATGAATATATTATTATTACAAATTCAAAAATTCTAAATCGATAAAACATGATAAAACATTTATGCCCATATGCATTTTCCTCCCAATAAAGGATGATGTTCTTTGAGATTGATTTTGTTTATGTTATGTATTATATGTTGATATTAAATATTGTAAGAATTAATATATGAATAATATGTATATTAAATGAATTTTATATGTTTTGAAAATATGTTTAATAATTTATGTTGATTATTATTTAATTATATATATTTATATATAATATAATATGGTTATAATTAATTATTTTCATTAATAATTCTTTATTAATATAATAATAATATTAATTAAATAGAATATATAATTTTGATAAGAATAATAATAATATTATATAATTTAAATAATTATTAATATTAATAATATATATAAATATTTATATTTAATAAAAAAATATAAATTATGATAATTCTTATTTTTATTAAGGAAATAAAAATGAAAAAAAAAAAAAAAAAATATATATTACGAATATTGAAAAATTATAATTATATATTATTTTTTATATATTATTCATTATATTTTATTTATTACTTAATTAATGTTTTTTGTAAGAATTGCAAGAGTTATTTATTCGTTGCAAGAATTTTAGTTGTAGGTAGTTCTAATTTCAATAGCTTTAGTTCTAAATTTTACTTCTAATTTACGTGGCAGGCGCAATATTTTGTGAACCTCTATGTGCAGATTGCGTGATAGGTACAGCACTTCGTGAAGCTCTATGTGTAGCTTTCGTGGCAGGCACAGCACTTTATGAACCTCTATATGCAGATTTCGTGGGAGGCATAGCACTTTATGAACCTCTATATGCACATTTCGTGGCAGTCCGTGTGCAGATTTCGTGGCAGGCATAGCACTTTGTGAATCTGCAGATTTCGTGGCAGGCAAAGCATTTTGTGAACCTCCATGCGCAGATTTCGTGGCAGGTGCAGCACTTTGTGAACCTCTATGCGCAGATTTCGTCGCAGGTGCATCACTTTGGGAACCTCCATGTGCAGAAAACGTGGCAGGCACAGCATTTTGTGAACTTCCATGTGCAGATTTCGTGGTAGGCACAGCACTTTGTGAACCTCCATGTGCACAGCACTTTGTGAACCTCCATGTGCAGATTTCGTGGCAGGCACAGCACTTCGTGAACCTCCATGTGCAGCTTTCATGGCAGGCACAACACTTTATGAACCTCCATATGCAGATTTCGTGGCAGGCACACAACACTTTGTGAACCTCCATGTGCAGATTTCGTGGCAGGCACAGCATTTTGTGAACCTTCATGTGCAGATTTCGTGGCAGGCACAGCACTTCGTGAACCTCCATGTGCAGCTTTCATGGCAGGCACAACACTTTATGAACCTCCATATGCAGATTTCGTGGCAGGCACAACACTTTGTGAATTTCCATGTGCAGATTTCGTGGTAGGCACAGCACTTTGGGAACCTCCATGTGCAGAATTCGTGGCAGGCACAGCACTTTGTGAACCTCCATGTGCAGATTTCGTGGCAGGCACAGCACTTCGTGAACCTCCATGTGCAGCTTTCGTGGCAGGCACAGCACTTTATGAACCTCCATATGCAGATTTCGTGGCAGGCACAGCACTGTGTGAACCTCGAGGCACAGATTTCGTGGCAGGCATAGCACTTTATGAACCTCCATGTGCAGATTTCGTGGCAGGCACAGCATTTTGTGAACCTCCATGTGCAGATTTCGTGGCAGGTGCAGCACTTTGTGAACCTCCATGTGCAGATTTCGTGGTAGGCACAGGATTTTGAACACCTCCATGTGCAGATTTCGTGGCAGGTGCAGCACTTTGTGAACCTCTATGCGCAGATTTCGTGGCAGGCGCAGCACTTTGGGAACCTCCATGTGCAGATTTCGTGGCAGGCACAGCACTTTGTGACCTCTATGTGCAGATTCCGTGGCAGGCACAGCACGGTGTGAACCTCCATGTGCAGATTTTGTGGCAGGCACAGCACTTTGTGACCTCTATGTGTAGATTTCGTGGCAGGCACAGCACTGTGTGAACTTTGTAGTACAACTTTAGTACCCGGAATATCTGGGGAGCTGGAAGATGAGAATTGGTGATTTTGTAGTACAATTTTAGTACGCGGAGCAATCTGTGGAGCTGGAAGTTGAGAACTAGCGACTTTGGAATACAACTTTAGTACGCGGAGTATTTGGGGAATTGGAAGATGAGGATTGGCAATTTTCTTGTATAACTTTCGCTGGAAGTTGAGAACTGGCGACTTTGTAATACAACTTTAGTACGCGGAATATCTGGGGAGTTGGAAGATGCGAATTGGCGACTTTTTAGTACAACTTTAATACGCGGAGCAATCTGTGGAGCTAGAAACTGAGAACTGGCGATTTTGTAGTACAACTTTAGAACGCGGAGTATCTGGGGAGTTGGAAGATGAGAATTGGCGGCTTTATAGTACAACTTTAGTACGCGGAGCATCTGGGAAGCTGGAAGATGAGAACTGGCGACCTTGTACTATAATTTTAGTACGCGGAGTATCTAGGGAATTGGAAGATGAGAATTAGCGACTTTGTAGTACAACTATAAAACGCGGAATATCTGGCGAGCTAGAAGACGAGAATTAGCGACTTTCTAGTATAACTTTAGTACGCGCAGTATCTGGGGAGCTAGAAGATAAGAACTGGCGATTTTGTAGTACAACTTTAGAACGTGGAGTATCTGGGGAGCTGGAAGATGAGAATTGGCGACTTTATAGTACAACTTTAGTACGCGGAGCATCTGGGAAGTTGGAAAATGAGAACTGGCGACCTTGTACTATAACTTTAGTACGCGGAATATTTGGGGAACTGGAAGATGAGAATTGGCGACTTTGTAGTACAACTTTAATACGCGGAGTATCTGGGGAGCTGGAAGACGAGAAGTAGTGATTTTCTAGTATAATTTTAGTACGCGGAATATCTGGGGAGCTAGAAGATAAGAACTGGCGATTTTCTAGTACAACTTTAGTACGCGGAGCAATCTGTGGTGCTGGAAGCTGAGAACTGGTGACTTTGTAATATAACTTTAGTATGCGGAGTATCTGGGGAATTGGAAGATGAGAATGGGCGATTTTGTAGTACAACTTTAGTACGCGGGGCAATCTGTGGAGCTGGAGGCTGAGAATTGGCAACTTTGTACTACAACTTTAGTACGCGGAATATCTGGGGAGCTGGAAGATGAGAATTGGCGACTTTGTAGTACAACTTTAGTACGCGGCTGAGTCATCTCTATTTTGTATTTTGCAAAATGCATGAACAACGTTTTTTCCTGCGAGACAGTTGACGGTGGTTGCTTCTCTTTCGCTCCATTGGTCGATTCAAATTTATTTTGTCAAAGAACATCGCAGCTCGGCGAATCAGCCTGCCACATGCCCTTTTCCTATAGATTTATTCTTTTGGAAATTTCCGCCGCCGGCTTGCCCGGGAACTGCTTGTCTTAATTCACATATAATAAGAATTTAATATTGATTGAGAATATTATAGATTTAAAAATTCATCAATAAAACTAAATATTTAAAATTCATATTTATAATAATATATTCCGTTTTTTAACCTGCTACCAATTCAACCGATTATTATTGATTAATATGTGTTATGAACCAACTATTTCTCCCAACAAATTGTTACCAAAAATTGCCACTAATAAATTAGTATTAATCAATTAACATCAACCAAGAATTTGTTTGTTAATTGTCTTCTCCAACGTCACGGATATATGTCCTAGCGTTGGTTGGGGTTGTTGGGTCTCTGCCGTTGTGATTTGTCGGCGTGGTATTCAAAAAATATAGGTTTTACAAGGGTGGTGTCGGTAATGCCCGCCGTGCGGACATATATAATCGGATATTTTTTGATGATGGGCCCGTATCAATATACATGGCACAAAATGTACCCCAAGACTACCCAATAGAGGCCCCCAAGATGGGGTAATATAGCCCCAAGATGGGCTAACATAGGTCCAAGATGGTCCAACATAGGGGCCAAGAGGGGCCTAACATAGGCCCCAAAGGGACAACATAGGACCAAGATGTGCCAACATGGGCCCAAGCTGGCCCCATAGGACCAAGCTAGGTCAAGATGTGCCAACAACAACAACAATAACACACCAATTATAGTACCGAACAACCCTACTGGCTGGTACTGGCCTGCGCTGGTGATTGCCTTTCTGAAAGTGTTATTTTTGAGAACCAATTTATTTTTAAGAATGATTCCTAATCAATGTCACACCGACCAATTGTCACCCACTAATTGTCACCAACCACTTACGCAGACATTCTTTCTTGCTAAGTTGCTAACATGTGGGGTTATCCGGTCCTATAATTGTTAATGTTTCAATTGATTCTTTTTTGTTCTCTAAGCGACGTATTGGTGAGAATGGTCTTATAGCGATGAGAATTTGATATAATATATATCGAAAATAATGCTAGCCATAACACAGTGTAGATACACATTTGCTTGAACGTGTCGTTTTCGTGCCATGCTTATTTTCAAAGTGTACACTGGGGTGCCGAAAGTTGCATTTCTTGATTTCTAAAACGGGACAAACCCTTTCCCCTTAGAATCTTACGTGCAACATGTTGACACCTAAGTTGCGGTCAAATCTACACACCTGAAAGCCTTATAAATATTATCATTTTATATAGGTATGGAAATCTGACCGTGTTGTACCTGCCAGGCAAAATGGACGTGTTAATTCGATCCGTTGTAGACCACAAGTGTCATGTTGGAACAGAGTAAGAAGCATTAATTTTAGGGTTCTTGAAATCTACATTGTATTTTAACCAAAATGAATCGATTTCACGCGAATGGATTGATTTCTCATTGAAATCTTGTGCCCATGCAGTGAGCTGATTTCACGCGATCTGGGTTGATTTAAGTACGCGGCTTGTAGTTATGATTGTGGATATATCTTTGAGATTTAATATATGTTATGATTATATTAGAATATTAATATATTTAATATCTCCTGGAACATTGGTCTTTATAATTAAAATTCGATAATATTATACATTATTATTTGATGTTTTTTTGGGGGGATGAG